GGTAAGGATTTTGATATACAGCCTATCGTGTGATTTCGGTTACTAATTCTAAAATTAATAAGCCTTTATTTCTTTTGTCTAGATTAATAAGTTGTTATTAGTACATGATGGTTATAATGATTATAGTCAAATTGTAACTTATGCAGAGTTTTTATTTTCAGTTATTTTATAAATTAATTAGGTGAAAAGTTGATTAGTTGCATTTGAAGTCTTTTTGAAATATTAATAATTAGATTAGATAAATGAAGAAACGAGGGAAAAGTCAAAAAAGGAGGAAAAAAATTAAGTTTCTTGGCCAAAGAGATATGTCACGTCGTCACTCATTTCCCGATATATATAGAGAGAGATAGATTTATGAGTTGATTGATTAGCACCCAAAAAAAAAAGTAATAGGACTCGAGGGTTTCTATTTATGAGTAACCGAAGGACTTCGATATTACATTGTTCAACTAAAAATATGTATTACTGTTTTTATTTATTATTCTATCTTTTACTCCCTTTGATCTAATTTAATTAATTTTTTGGTTGTATTCGCACATATTAAGGAATTTTACTTTTAGCATTAATTAACAATAAAATTGATCATATTAACCTTAATTTGTTCATTAGAAATATAACAAATATTCCTAGACCCTTTATTCCAAGGATAAGTTTGGAAAAAATAAATTAATTCTTTCTTGATATCTGAAAAAAATCAAATATTATGGATCATAAAAAAAACTCAAAAAAAAGTGGATAGGAGGGAGTATGATTTTTACACACTTGTCAAGAAAGATATTTAATAACCTCAATCATCAGAGTATTTGTATGAACTGCATCCTATTTATCATCGAATCACTCAATTAATATTTCATTAATTTAAGCAGTAAGGATATATTTGAAAAAAGATATAAATAATTTTACTTTTTAAAAATATCAAATATTTAAAACAACTTCAATTTCTTAAAATAACTAATTTATATCTATATCTATATATACTATATTAAAGTACGAAAGCCCTTAGCGAAATATCGTTCGCTTTTTTTACCCTTAAAATAGAATTCACACTGGATAGAATAGTCATTTTATTAATTTTCTAATATTTAGTATTTTGAAATCAACTACACTTTATTTATTATAGTAGGAAATCTCTCAATATTTAGGACATTTAAATCAACAAAATTTTCCTTTTATAATTCAAAATCCTAATATTTAGGACCAAATATAACAACTAATTTTGACGTTAAACTACATTTTAGGAATTCAAATTTTCAATGTTTTAATATCTAACCACTAAACATTATATTTGTATTCAAGACATTAAAGTTAAAAAATGAAGAACTGCTATTACTTTTTAATTGGAAAAAAAAAATACTATATTGGTTCTTCCATTTATTTATTTTTATCCAGTACTATTGATTATTCTAAAAGTAAAGTTAAACAGGAAATTAGAGTTAAAATAAGACAATATACAATTAGTATGAAGAATTAATTTCTACTCCCTCTGTCTCGAATTATTTATCATAATATCTAAAAATAGATGTTTCAATTATTTATCATTTTAGAAGTTTAAGATAAAATTAATTATTTTTTCTATTTTATCCTTAGTAGTAATTATTCTTGAGGATGAAGATGACACATAAATAAAGTAAATATTCAATGAAGAGAGATTATATTAAAGACATAAATAAGGATAAATAGTCAAAAATTCATTCTAATTAATTTTTTCTTTAAAGAAGTGTAAAAAAGAAATACGGCAAATAATTTAAAAGGGAGGAAATATTTATTAGTAATCGAGACTCAAGAATTAGTAATAAAGACTCAATAGCCTATATAGGTAGAAAGATGATGAATTATTAATGTTATGAAATATTTAGTTTAACAACAAAAACGTAAACCCAACCAAACTAATAATTGGTCAATGTCAGAAATCTCATCAAATGGTAAATGTTACAATTACGGATTATTAGTACAAAAGTTGCAGTAATCAATAAAGTCACAAAGTTTACTAGCAAAATTAATTAAGTTTTGGTTTGTGGAACTGTATTTTCTAAAAGTTGAAGGCAACAAATTTTATTGGTATTTGTCCAAAAAAAATAGAAAAGAAAAATTTTTAACTCACAAAATTAAAACTCTGTATTAAAATTATTCAAAGTCGCAAGTTGTCATGACCCAATTTCCCCTCCGTGTGACGTCGTGACGGCACCTAGTTTCTACAACTAGGTAAGCCTAATATTTTTGTGGAATAATAAAATAAAAATAAAAATTTAACCAACTATTCAAAAATACACAACAAATCCCAAAACCCGGAACATCGTGAATCACAAACTACAGAAGGAAAAATCTAGTGTCTCTATATATGAGAATCTAACAAGGAAAATACAGAAGATAATGGACATGAGAAAGAGTAGAAGGGGACTCCGAGGTCTGCGGACGCGCCATATATACCTTGAAGTCTCCAAAGTTGTCTCGGCTCACTGATAGTGCGGCTGATAAGATGCACCTGGATCTGCACATGAAAAATATGTGCAGAGAGTAGCATGAGTACACCACAATCGGTACCAGTAAGTGCCAAGCCTAATCTCGGTCGAGTAGTGACGAGGTCAGGTCAGGGTCCTACTGGTAAATATATAATAAAAATAATATAAAGTGTAATACCGCACTAAAATAAAGGCTAAAATTTAACAACAATAAAATTATAGAAGGTAACAGCCTAGTACACAGAAACACAACAGGGGATCTCCCGAGATACCGTATTGTAGTCCCAAATGTAAATGTGCAAGGGAATCTCCCGGAATACCGTTCCGTAGTCCCAAAGTAAATATGCAAGACAGGGGGATCTCTCGGAATACCGTTCCATAGTCCCAAAGTAAATATGCAGTATAGGGGAATCTCTCGAAATATCGTTCCGTTGTCCCAAAGTAAATATGCAGTACAGGAAGATCTCCCGGAATACCGTTCCGTTGTCCCAAAGTAAATATGCAGTATATAAGGATCTCCCGGAATACCGTTCCGTAGTCCCAAAGTAAATATGCAGCGCGAACGATAGAAATACAACTACATCACGAAATTCTTACGATTTAGACTAAGTACCAGTCAGGGAAGAAGCAAAAAATTCACTAAGCATGCTGCACAGAATTCACATAAACAATTAAGACACGTAGACATGTTGTATTAGACTAAACATGATAGCTACACAGATTGGAATAAGTCAATTAAGAATGAAAATAGATTAGTACTCATTAAAATGGTATAACTCAAAATAACAGGAAAACATGTTGCTGCTCAGTAAGAAAATCGGGTTTTACCACAACTAGTCCGTATACGTACTCGTCACCTCACATACACGGCGCTCACATATCACAATTGTCACGACCCAAAATCCCACCACAGGCGTCGTGATGACACCTATTCTCTAAGACTAGGTAAGCCGATTTTAATTATATTTTGAAGCCATTTAAAAAAAATAATAATAATCAAAACTGACAGCGGAACAAATATGAATATGTAACTTCCCAAGACTAGTAGTACTGACTCACGAACTCTAACTGGATACACAGAATGATCACGAGGACCGAATATATAATACTGTTTGATTACGAGTTAACACTACAATGAAATGAAAAGACTTCAAGGGACTGCGACGACCAAACAGCTCCATCTTGAATCCTTACGATCTCGTTTTAACTCCGCTCAAGTCCGTTATCTTCAATACCTGGCTCTACACAAAAATATGCAAAAGTGTAGTATGAGTACGCCACGGTCGGTACCCAGTAAGTATCAAGACTAACCTCAATGGAGTAGAGACGAGGTACAGTCAAGACACTCACTAGTCTAATAATCTGTACAATACAAAATAATAGGAAACAAATAATAACAAAGCTTGGTAATAATACCAATAATAATAAATGGTTATTATTATTATATTATATTCGAAAACACCGATCAGTATTGAACAAATCACTAACAAAATATTTAAATGGTTGACAAGAGTCAAGTACATTAATGATTTTACAAACACAAAAATTCAAAAAGTGAAATATCAAAATATTTTTTTTACTCTTTGATAATATAATTAAGATAACAGTATAATTATAATTAATTATTTAAAATTGGATGAGCTAATATGAAGAATTTGAATCAACAAAAAATAATTATTTTCTTTAATGTTGCGAATATATAATTAAGCATTTGAATCAACTAATTAACAAGAATCAATTTAATTATTTTTTATATTTATCATATAAATAAAATTATTTTCAAATTGACAAATAGATTGTGATACATAAATTTGTTTTGATAAGAATAGCATTATATTGGTTATAATAGTATTAAGAGTCAAATTCGTAAAAAAAACAAACTTGAAGCAATCAGGAGGAATCTATAGAATACAAACTATATTCTAAAGGAATTTTCATTTATTATTATCATTATCATTATTATTATATTATTATTGTTAATATTATTATTTTACAAATGACAACTCCCCTTATGTTCTAAATTAAATTATTTGAGGTAAAAAAATATAAGTCATTTAGACGTTACGTTTTCCCTTATCAATTTTTTCTATGAGTATAACACTAACCTCTTCATTCCAAAATGGTAGAGAAATTCATTTTTTTAAAATTTATTTTATTTGACAAATCTTTATTGGTAATAGTATTTACATTAATTTTGTTTATTTTTGTATTAGATCATAGAAATAACAATATTTTTTTTATAAGATATTTTCATAGAAATCCTCAGAAACTACAATAAGACATCTAAAAACTTTTATGAAAAGAATTCTTTCTTCGTTGAGTAGCTAATAAAAATATTTAGTAGTTATCATTTTCAAGAACTTATACATTTATTGTCAATTTTTATTAAAAGTCAAACACATTGTTTCTTAATCTTTTTAGTAATATTTAAAAAAAATATATTTTATTGATATCGAATACAAGCATATCCTAATATTAATATTTAAAAAAGAAAAGAAAACCTTACATGAACTTGCTATTTAGGTCAACCAAAGGTCAAGTCACCTCACCAATCCCAGATTCCCAGTATTTCTTAACAAAAGCGTTATACTTGTACTTCCACAATTACAATTTCTCAACATCTAATTACGTACCAAAAAAGAAAAAGAAACTTTAATCAATTCAATGGAGTTACAATCCAATCTAACATGCCAAAATCTCCCAACCATCTTCTCCTCTTTCATTGACACATTCGTCGATTTCTCTGTGAGTGGAGGCCTCTTTTTACCCCCACAGCCAACAATCACTTCATCACCAAACCAAACTATATTCCCTTCTCCTAATCGTTTAATTGCAATAGGTGACTTACATGGTGATTTCCAAAAAACCAAACAAGCCTTCAAACTTGCTGGCTTAATTGATGACCATGACAAATGGTGTGGTGGGTCCACTACAGTTGTTCAAATAGGTGATGTACTTGACCGTGGTGGCCAAGAATTAAAGATTCTTTATTTTCTTGAAAAACTGAAAAGAGAAGCTGCTAAGGTAAATGGTAATTTAATTACTATGAATGGTAATCATGAGATTATGAATGTTGATGGTGATTTTAGATATGTTACTAAAGAGGGTCTTCAAGAATTTCAAGATTGGGCTTTTTGGTATTGTATAGGCAATGATATGAAAGAATTATGTGATGGTTTTGATAAAGAGTGTGTTAAAGCTCCATTTTTGGGGATACCCTTTGAGTTTCATGGCGTAAATCAGGAGTATTTTGATGGTATTAGAACAAGGATTGCAGCGTTAAGGCCAAACGGGCCGATTTCGGAGAGGTTTTTGGGAAAGAATCAAACAGTTGTTGTTGTTGGTGATTCTGTGTTTGTTCATGGTGGACTTTTGACTAAACATGTGGATTATGGATTGGAGAATGTGAATGAGGAAGTGAGGGATTGGATTTGTGGGGTGAGGAGAAGAGTTTCGAGGGATTTGGTGAGGGGGAGAAATTCCATTGTTTGGTTGAGGAAGTTTTCGAATGAGTTGGCGAAGGATTGTGATTGTTCTACTCTTGAACACGTGCTTGCTACAATTCCGGGAGCGAAAAGGATGATAATGGGACATACAATTCAAGAAAGTGGGATTAATGGGGTTTGTGATAACCAAGCCATAAGGATTGATGTAGGAATGTCAAAGGGATGTACTAATGGATTGCCTGAGGTTTTAGAGATTGATAGGGATAAAGGGTTGAGGATTTTGACATCAAATCCGTTGTATCGAGATGTAAAGGAGAGTTCTTTGGATGCTAAACCTAGGGATGGTCTTGGTTTGCTGCTCCCTGAATTAGGACCAAAGCAAGTTGAGGTGAAGGCATAATTAGATGATTGAACTCTTGAGGATCTAATATTTTCTTTGGGAACTCATGGGGACTGTATTTCTTCTTTGCTGGTATGATTCTTCTGTCACTTAGTGTACGATCATTGTGGAGTGATAAGAAAAGGTATTGTTTTAATTTGGTTTAATGGTTCAGTCACTGTGAAATAGATATTAGCTCAATCGAAAAGTTTCTCTGCTACTTGAATACTACTGATTACTCAATTTACTCTTTTTGTTCTTTGTTCTGTGTTTTAGTATTATCTTCCTTTCATTTCCACTAGATATTGGCATTTGCCACATATACCCCCCATGTGCTCCTACGAAGTCCTTCTAACCACTCATAAGGCTTACGATGCATTGTTGTTATTACAATCCTTGAGGCCGAAATTGCCAAACGAATATTTTCATTCTGTAGCCGAAGGGCCGAGTCCAAAGCAGAGAACTGAGTCCATTAGTAGTCTTTTTTTTTTTAAACTAAAAAGTGGACTGATTGGTGGCAGAAGTTTAGATATCCATACAAACTACATTACTACATATTCATAAAGGCAAGATGTCTGGTGATTCTGCTTAGCTGGTTATTTTCTTTTTGTATATTTTCTTCAGCCAAAGAGCGAAGATATGTTAACAAAGGCAGCTTAGAGGTGGAACCTCTTATTGAAGAGTTCTAAAGGAAACCTTTTCGCTATGATTTTGAGGACAATTTTCCGTACTCAATGGAAAAGTACTGCAGATAAGAAGTCTTAAAGTAGCTTAAGATCTTGTTTTTTTCCCCCAATGTTTTTCTATTTCTCTCAAGCCATATGGATCAAGCAGTTAGAAATGGATCAAGATATGATGCATAGAGGTTCCCTTTTTGACAGGCTTTAAACAAGTACATCTATACCTTCTCACCTGAGGTTTGGGAATTAGGGAAACTGAAAAAGTGTAAGAATGGATTCCTAGTAGTATTCCAAACCACGCTCCATCTTGACTTTTATTAAGTGTTGCTTTCTTGCCACAGGACATGGAAGCTTTCTCCATGAGGAGCTTCTTAACACCAATGATCTTGCCAAAACCTGCCACTTCACCTTGCCAAACTTGTCCTAAGTAATGTTGATGAATGTGTAAATATGCCACGGAGTCAAAGTATCAAATGTACAACTTGTTGCTTGATTTAGCCATAAGAGTAGTTGATTGATTTTTGATTTAAGTATGATAGTAAAACTAATGTTATGTTAGATTGAATAAAGTTTTGATATAGGCTAAGGGTATTATCAATAACAAATCTTTTATCCAATTTGAACCAAATACGTGTTTAGAACTATAGATTGCACGGTACATATATTTAAATATGGTACAAAGAACCAAACATCAGATAGTAAAAAGGATAATCCATTGATTAATCAATGCATTGTAATTCCTGCATTATGATCCAAGTATGACTTCCACCTGGAGATCCCGTGTTCAAAAACCCAGTTACAACATTTGGTGTGAGCTGATCTGCTTTAGCATTAGTACAAACAACTATTTTGGCAACCTGTGCTTGTGAGCTGGATAAGCTGCCCGGTAAATTATTCAAGATGCCTAGATGCTGACACGGACGCTATCACTATCCAAAAAAGAGTTACAAGTATAAAGTATAACTTGTCTGTAAATCAATCGACTCCTAAGAACAAAAAATATTGCTGGCCTTTTCCTGTGCATGATACAGATGACTAAGCTATGGTTTCCAGTCTATCAGGGGCATGATTTATGCTGATGATTGTGTGCCTAGTCATTAGATGCCATTCGTAGCTAGGCATATGTGAGCATAGTGGGAACCTCGATGTACAACTAAATGTTGGTAAACAATACTGATGCTGTAAGAGTGTCGTTATATAACTAGTCCTGCTGACAATTATTCCTTTCATGACCCTTATCAGTTATCAACATTTAATAAACTGCTTTCTTGTCATTTAAATTCCAGTCAGATTTGGATGTTGAACTGAAAAGTGGAATGTTACATTTATCATGTTTCTTCATATTGTCATAAAGCTCTTCATCCAAGGTGGAGATTGTTTTGTGGCAGCTAAATGCTATTTTATGTGGTATTTACAGATTTAGAGATGGATAGAGAAAAACCTTTGTGAAAATATTTGTTGGAAGAAATCTCTTGGATATGTTTGTATGAAATAGTTGATAATGGTGATGTATTAAGCTAGAATGTTAAAGCTGATTACGAGTCTGCAGTCTATTGGAAACAGTGTTAGTTCTTGCATAGTAGTTGCTCGGAGAAGCATAGATACCTTTGGTGTTTTAAGTAGTTCTATGGTCTTGAAAAAACTCTATGTGTTATGTTCACACTTCCCAGAAACCATTGCTTTTGTTGGTAATTTATTAGTATTTTCTTTTTTCAAATATTTGCTACTTTATTTTTTTTATGTCAAAGTTTAGCTGACTTTTCTTGTAGCAGATTTAGGATTTATCCTCTACTGTCAAACTGAAAAAAGAATTATTTGGAGACCTTGGTTGGGTTGCATTTGTCGTCGAACACTTTTGCTTGTAGTTATTCATCTGGAAAGCGAGCTTCTATTAGAAAGTGACAGGAATGGATGTTTTTGTAGGATGCTAGATCAAGATTCTTTTAGAGATTCTGTCTTCGATGAGTCACGATGTTGTAATATTCCTCTCGTTAAGCGAGCTTCTATTGGTTCGTTGTTAAATATCTTGAAGATCTGAAGTAATACTAAACTTCTTAGATGTTCTGATGCACTTATTTGGAAGCTCTGGTGACTTCAGGGGACCAGTAGATCAAATCACTACAGAGCTGTGTCATCCTTCAATCTATAGCATGGTAAAGATGCAATAAGCTGCACCGTCTTTTCTTGGCTGCATGCAGCTGTTGAATTGCTTACAACTTTGTTGTATGTTGTACAACCTCTATCTCAAGCCTTTCAATATATGTGCCAACTTTAGCCAGAGGAATGTGAGTATTATGTATACAGATTGGCAGCGAACCGGGGTTACTTGTAGCATAATAGTGGGCGGGAATTAACTTTTAGAAGAAACTGTGAATGCGCGTCTATATTTACCTGGGAGAAACAGATATAAGGAGGTGGAGGCAACAAAAGGATGGCAAGATTGTGTTGCAAAATGTTACCCCTTAAGTAGCTAGATTGTGTTGGATTACAGCACATGAAGCTTGTCTAACATGGTCAAAATTGCAGGGAATGGAGTATGGTACCGTGCAGCAAGTGATTCACGTGTAAAGGAAGTGAAGAAGAGGTCAAATTATATGCTTGTACGCTGCCTGTCAGCAAGGAAGCTATATAGAGTATGTTTCTCAGCTTTATATAACTTTCACCTTGATATAATGTCAAGAAGAGTGAAAAAGCTTGTAGAGGAATTGAAGGTTTTTGAGGGGACAATAAGTTTTATATACAAAGGCAGATATATAGGTATGTGTCCTTTGGCCTCTTGGCTTAAAATGACATGCATATGAAGTTAACTCATTGCTATAGTTCCTGAGCTGTATGAAAGTGTCTGTGCTTCTTTGTTGACAACAGCTGCAGATGTTGTTTCTGTCAATGTTAACACTCTGCAGATGGTCTGAAATTACATTTGTCTTTAACCAAAATCTTGGATGCAGTTGAATAGTTTATTGTCATAATATTAAAAGACAAAATCATACGCAAGTATAATGAGGATTTCAAGGCATCAAAAAACGCCAGTTTTCTCCTCTCCTAACAAGCATTACAGTAAAGTTAAGCATCTTATCTTCATCTTCATCTACATCTATACCATCTTTGGAGAGGGAAGGGATGTAGATCTTAGGTGACACATATTTGACACGTGTAGTGGTAGATATAGCTTACTATATACGGGTTTAACAGGACTCAATATTTATGTGATAAACACTAAATTTTTTAACAAATATTATAATTTCAAAAGTATAAGTGTAATAACTTTAAAAGTTGAGACTCAATTATTATTTATTGTTCGTCCAAGGGGGACAGTGTTCCATGATTTCCTACTTTTGTTTTCTTATAGGGAAGGAACATTACTATAACTAACATTTGAACTATAATAAAATTGAGTAGGAACTCATTAGTATCTTGTAACTTGTAGGTGTAAAGTTCGATTAACACAAGACTCGCTTTTCTTTTTCTCTAGTCAGGCCTTCTCAAACCCCAAAATATGCGAACAATAATAAGTTGTTGTAGCAATCATTTATCCCACAATTAGTGAAACTCGCTATAGTGGCAAGGTACATTTACGCCAACTCCTGGATAGAGATTTAAGTCACGTGAAGAGTAAGTGGGGACACATAAAAGGAAGAGCAAGGGAAAACGGGGGAATAGATAAATTAATTGATTGACGAAAAAGAGTTAGATTTTTTATTTCCTACACAATATTTCAAATTTATTTAGCAAAGTTGATAGAATGTATGAGTCCACCAAACTGTATAGAGACCTTGTCCTATACCAGTTCCCACAGAAATGGCTAATGAACCAGTAAGTAAATGACACGAGAGATTTTTACGTGGAAAAATTCCTGCTCAAGGGGATAAAAAACCACGACCTACACTGGTAGGATTTCAACTTCACTACTGAGTAATCTTTAGATTACAACCTATTGCAACCTATGAATTAAACTCTTAACCCCTCACTAACTTGCAATACACCTATTACAAGCCACTTTGCAATACACATATTACAAAGACTTCAAGTCATGACTAACTCTAGTCATGACATAAACACTAAGGGTTTATGGTTTTCCAAGGTTCCTAATTAAAGCTTCTAAATAAGCAAAGTAGGAATTACAATGAAGAACAAATACAAAGTTACAACTCAACTAAGGACATACAAAAGACTTGTTGTAGGAACTGGTCCGTAGTAGTGTTGTACTTTATTCTTGATGCACTTGTGACTTCAATACTTGATTATATCATATCTGGAGTACTTGAATCAATTCACAAAGTGTTCAAGTAATATTTTGTTGTAATGCTTCTTGTTAATATCCTTTGAATGACATCATTTGGATGATGTAAACACTTGGTTGGTAAAAAGCCCTTCCCAATAGGAAGTGACTGCTGCACTGTTTCTGCACTATAGCATGTACAATGCAAGCAGTCATTTTCCAACTGTAGAGTTGACTTCGTACTGNAGCAGTCATTTTCCAACTGTAGAGTTGATTTCGTACTGCTGTCAGGGAAGCTCCAAGGGATCAGATCCCTGAGTTGGTTCTTTTCTATCTGAAGTCATAAAGCTCACATTAGCTTAAGTCCATTGATGGATAAATATACCAAGTGTGCATCAAGTTCTTTATCTGGTTCTTGACAATAAGTTTGTTAGAGCAGAGCACAATAAACCAGATAAAGTACCAGGAACTTCACAAGTTCCCCCTGACTCTCTGCTTCCCCCTTACTCAAATGCCCCTGCTTCAATTTATCTTCCCTCTTTTGGCATCATTAAAAATACACAAGCAAGTAATCAGCATAAAGAAGTCTAGCCCAGCTAACTCATGCCACATGTGTGCACACAACATGATAGAAAAGAGAAGCATAAAAAGACAAGCATTTAACAGCAAAAGAGAGTCTTCATTAAGTTTTATAAAACATAAGCCTTTGCCATTACAGCAAAGGCAAGTTTGGACTGTTGAAAGCGGGAGCAGTATAAGTGAAATCCATCCACATCACAAAAAAGACAAAAACAACTACCACAAGTCATCAAAACAAAAGATAGAAACTTGACACTTGTCATTGGAAGATTTTCTTAGGGGGCACTAGAGGAGGAAGGCTTGGAGGAGGCAACAAGAGTGTTGAGAACAAGGTCAATCCGAGCATTTGCGGACATTTGCTCTGCGAGCAGTTTCTCTCTCAGGTTCTCCACCTGTTGCCTGAGCTCATCATTTTCTTTAGACAGACGAGCAACTTCTTCACTTGATGAACTGGAGGGTCCTGGTGCTGCTATAGCCTGACTAAGTTGAGTCTCAAGAATGACGTTGCTTGCCTTCAGCTTCCTGATCTCCTTTGTGGCACTATTCTGAGCATTGATTAGCTGTGAGATCGTTGAAGTGCTTCCCATTCCTCCAACCTTTTCAATACATTCACATTCCTCCAGTGTAGTTTTCGAGAAGGTTTGTTTCCTGGTCCCCATCTTGGTATTTCCTAAGGGTACATCAAAGAACTTGAATACACGCGTGAGAAGAAAGCCTTACGGAAGTCCATGGTTCCCATCTTTGAAAGCTGCCACTTTCTATATATGTTCAATCATGATGGCAGGTAAGTTGATAGAATGAAACTCATCTAGTGCTTCCATTAAGTATAGATCAGACCTGGAAGTAATGGACCTTCTTTCAGCATGAGGGAGCAGAACCTTGTTAACCAACTCGAACAATAGTTGGTACACAGGAAGTAGAGCCTTCTTGTGTACCCATTCCCCATGCTGGGCAGCTTTTTCTTTCACAATGACGCGCCTAAAATTAGAGCCACAAGCGCCTCTCACAGATGACAACCCTTCAGATGGAACCTTGAGAATGTCCCCCAACACAGTAGCGTCCAATTCCATATCCACTCCATTCACTAAAACACAGATGTGGTCATCTTCAACAGTAAAGATGTCGGCATAAAAGCTTTTGACATCATCCTCATATACTTTGGCCACATCCTCTTTGAATAGATGGCCCCACTGCTGAAATTCTACCATCTCAAGAATTTGTCTCATACCCGCCATTTCAGAAATCTCTGGGTCAAAAGTGCGACCCCACAATACCTTTTGATGTCTCAACCTTTCTTGCCCTAGTACACTTACNTACCTTTTGATGTCTCAACCTTTCTTGCCCCACTACACTTACACTTTTCATCTTTTTTACAGAATCGGGTTCCCCAACAACTTCCAACTTCCTTTTGCTAGACATGCCAATGGACTTGCCCTTATCACTTGATTTTACCAGAATATCATCATCAAACACATATTCTTCCTCCACAACTTGCTTAGACTTGACACTACCTTTCACAGACGTTTTACTTGGTTTTACAACAACTTCCTTTGAAGCACTCTCAATAGATTATTTCTTTTTCTGAGATCTCTCAACCAGGGAACTTGTTTCCTCCTGAGCATCCTCAACCACCTCTACTACTGAAATATTTTTGTCACACACAATTTCCCCTTCCTTTATCAGCCTCTTCTTTTTCTTCTTCTTGCTACTCCTACTTTTCTTCAGGGTTGCAACCTTATGGTAGGTCGCTTAGAAGGGGGCTCAGGAGTGACCACAGGCTTTCTAATCTTGAAGCGAGTACTGAGAACCACATCATCCTGAGCATCCTCATCACTAGGTCTCACAACATGAGGGATAGACTCCAACGGCTCAACGTCAAAGTGAGGAGAAGGAGCAGGGTCAAAGATGACCTGGGAAGATAATTCCTGACCTGTTTCCTCAGGGATGGGATCAGTTTCATCAGCAGGGTTCCCAATAGCTTCTTCAGGTGCAGGTGGTTCAAAGAGCACCATTGTTCCTTTTTCTCCTAAGAGCGGAGTCCCTTCCCCCTGAGACTCAGGCATGGTAGAAGTTCCTTCATCCACCAGTCCCTCAGCAGCAATGGCCAATATGTTTTCAGCGGCCTCTTTTTTCTGAGCCTCCATGGGAGCAACAGTGTCCAAGACTGGAGAACTTATGTACTGATCAATATCTTCCTCAAAAAACCCTTTTTCTTGTTGAGTTTCACCCTCTTTTTCATCCTTGTTCTGGTTTTTTTAGAGTATCAGGCAACAGAGAAGAAACAGTGTCGACTTTTGAGGCTTCTGAGTCCTCAACACTTAACTAAGGAATAGGGTCAGATAGAGTGGTGAGAGAGACAAGAGGTGAAAGCGAATCGGGTTTGGATATATCGGTGTCAGTAATGGTGGAAGAGGGGATTTTTGGTGGTATTTCGAAGGTGGCAGATGAGTCGAAGATGTTACCTTCCAAGATGGGTAGGGTAGCTAGCTCTTCAGCCATGGTAGATAGTTAGGTTGAAGATTCTGGAAGGATGGAGAGAGGGGGGATGATCGCTCAAGGTTAGAAATGAAGGTGTTTTAAGGAGGGAAAGGATAATTATGAGGGAAGAGAGAAACGGGTTCTGAAACGGTGGTAGGTTTGTGGGAAGATGCACCGTTTGAAAGAAAAGACGTGATATACAAGGTCTAAAAAGGTGGATGACGTGGCAGTTAATTTTGTTTCTTTTGAGATACGCATGAGAAAAACACAAGACTACTAACCTATGGTACAAGAACTAGGTTCCTGACCGGCCTTTTTAAAAAGATTTTCAACTCTCCTTTGCTGCTCATGCATTGTTCCTTCAGCTTCTATAATCATCATGCGTGTCTACCTGCAACGGTATAGAAGTGAGTTAAGCTTGGCCAGAAAACACTTTAGCTAGATTTACATGAATGTAATTTTCATAGCCATAGGGAAGGGAATCAGGTTCTCAATTTGGCTTGATTAACCCTAGTGCCATCCTGTTTCTCTCAAAATGTTCCCTGCTTAGAGCTTTGGTGAAAATATCTGCAATTTGGTCTTCTGTACTACAGAACTTCATGCAAATAAGCCCCTTATCCACGTTGTCTTTGAGAAAATGATGTCTCACATTAATGTGCTTGATTCTCTTGTGTTGGACTGGGTTCTTTTCCATGTTGAGTGCACAGGTATTGTCACATAACAGAGGTACACAGTCAGTGTATACCCCAAAATCCTCCAATTGTTATTTGATCCACAAGAGCTGAGCACAACAGGATGCTGCAGCAACATATTCTGCTTCAGCTGTTGAGAGAGCTACTGAATTTGCTTCCTTGTACCCCATGAAATCAGACATGATCCTAGGAAATGAGCCATTCCAGATGTGCTCTTCCTGTCCACAAGGTAACCTCCTGTCAATCAACAATCCAGATAAATCAATTAGTTATTTTAAGCTAAGAATGCAACATGATTGTTAGATAACCCGTGACCCTGGAATATTATCTCCTATTGATTGTTATTCAAAACTATTTAAGTGTTATGTTGATTTCTAGCATTTCATTACTTGATAGTTTTTAGGTAGTAAATTAGACAATTATCTATTTTATAAGAAATCGCTTGAATCAATAAGATATTTGAGTTTGAATTAGTCAAAAGTTAATAATAAGTCTTCGTGGGAACGATACTTTATTCACTACTCTATTACTTGACGACCACGTATATTTGCGTGAGTGTGTTTGGTCGCAACAAATTTTTGGCGCCGTTGCCGGGGACTTAGAATTAGCTATTTTTCTAGATTAGGCTTTTACTTATAACTTTATATATATTTTTAATTTTATAACTATTTAACTTTTCTCTTAGTGTGTTTCTAGTTCTCTCAACATGACATCTAGGGATGACGTATCCGGAGGTAAGGTTATTGATGAAGACGCTTGGTTGACGGAAGACTGTTATGGCCCATATTTTTGGTCTTGTCATGCCCTGAACTCTGGGAGGTCTGAATTTGAATATGGGAGTAAGGGTTGTTATTGGGATGGATATTCTCGATTAAGCAAATATACGGAATGACGTTGTCTTTTAACAACATTGGTGAATGCTTGATCTAAGGAGAGAGTTGATCTTGCACATGAAATTGACAAGTTTGGCTTGGCTTTGCAGAACTTGGATGTAGATTTGAGTACAAAAGTTGATGCGTGTAACGCCCAATAATTTAATGATGAGTTGTGTGAAGATGAAAAAAATCTTCTAGACAAAATTGAGGAGCTAAAACGAGAATACCAATCATTAGACTATGTTTTTCTTGAGGATGCCAATATTGAGAAGAGTACTCTAGAGTCCTATGAGGGAGTAGATAACATTACTTTGGGAGACTTGAGTGTATGTGAATATGGGGATGCAAATAGTAGTAAGTTTCATGAGTTAAGGCGCATTAGACCTCATTCCAATTATTTTTTCACATTGTGTTTAGATAGTAAGATAGTAATCAAGCCATCTGAGCCTATGGGGGAGTCAAAGGGTGAGGATGAGAATTCCTATATTCTTGAATTTGTTGTGCCAAAAAGCAAAAATTACATTCCATGTCTAAAGGCCGAAAAGTACAGAGGAAAAAATTTATTACTTGGTCTGGTTATCTTTGTAGCCCCACCAAAAGAGCATAGCAGAAAACTTGAAACCATGTTAGGGGTAAAATTCATAAGTTCGAGGTGGAGGAAAAAGTGGTTCACGTCGTGCCGCGACGTTAAATTAGGCGCTTGTTGGGAGGCAGCCCAACTTTACTGCTTTCTTTTATTTTTGTTTATTTTATTATTTTTATTATTTTTGTAGTGTTCTTTTATTTTGTAGGATTATGAGCATAGGAAGAAAAGTCACTGGAAGTGTGCAAAAGCGAGCCAGATGGTTGGAACTAGTGTGAGGTACCCGCACAAAGGACCATCCATGGGAGAAGTCTGAGTATCCCGTGAGCTGCTATTGCTTCGGCCTTTGGTCTTTCAGGGAGTTTGTTGTCCACCCTTGTTATTTTTACTTTATTTGTGCATTGAGGACACTGCACTCTTTTAAGTGGGGGGTGGAGGATTCTCTATTCTTTCTACAGTATTATATTAGTATATTGTTAGTTTCTTATCTTTTTATTGTTAGCTAGATTCTTATTTTTAATAGCATAGTTAGTAGAATTAATAGCATAGTATAGTAGTAGTTTTAGTAGCTTAATTTAAAAAGATAAAAAATAAAAAATAAAAAAAAATTGAAATTTTGTTTTTGGACTTTTCCCGACGATGGATCTCCTAGATAATTTTCTTGAGGAATTAAAGTCTAAACAAAAAACAAATAGAAAAATAGAAAAATCCAAAAATATGTTTTTTTTGTAGCAATAATCTCCCGTGGTTTTTTTTTTGCCTCGGTTCTTTTCCATAGGATGTAGTTTGAACCGAATAATTTTCTTTTTCGTTTAGAATATATTAGAGTTTAGAAAATAAATGGAGGAAGAAATATGAGATTCCTAGGGGCTCTTGACTTGTTTGATAGTAGCATATTCAGGCTTTGGCATGTGTAGTACCTTTCCTATGTTTTAAAATTGATCATGAAGCCTTTATAAATTGGATAGCATGTTTTGTGGCACCTATTTCTCGTTTTCTTGACTTGTGTTCCCTTTGCGCTTAATGCTTAATATCTCATGACTCCGTGAATACTTGCATTGTTTGAGAGTCGGAATGTGACCGTGCTTAGCGAGTCATGTGCCATGTGTGGTGAGGTTTTTGTGTAGTCCATGTATTGTACTTGTGTCTAGAACTTGCCTGGTATGTGAGTTGAAGCGAAATTTTAGGTGATGCTCGGTTTGAGAAATAATTTTAGGCTTTCTTTGATCTTTTTGAGCTTATTGCATACCATAAAAATTTTTTATCCCTAGTTACCCTTTTGAGCCTATAGACTTTTATTTGGTGCCCACATTACAAGCCTATGCTGAGCCTATAGACTTTTATTTGGTACCCACATTACAAGCCTATGCTTTTTTTTGTTCTTAATTGNACAAGCCTATGGTACCAATTACATGCATGTGACTTCTTTTGTGAGAGTGAGCGATTTTTTTGATATATATGTGAGCATGAGATTCGAATTTGTAGATTGATTTTACTCTCTTTGCTTTTGTTATGAGGGCACATGATTTCACGAGGGATAGGTAACATTATTAGACTTCTTTAGGATGTTGGGTGTTCAAGCCATGAGTGCATTGTGACATTGAGTCAGTTTTTGAGGCTAGGATTGTTATGAGCATGTTGTCTTTGTTTGAATATTTTTGAAGTATGGCATAAGTTAAAGGGAAGTATGTGGTGATTGCATACTCTAGAGTTTAATTGTTGCTATCAAACATGGTCAATGGTGTAGTATGCTAAAAGATAGAGTTATTTGTTGGTTGACTCGAGGGAAGCAACGTTTAAGTGTGGGGGTGTTGATAATTGGCTTAATGTATGCATATTTTGATGTATATTGCCTCACATTTTACTCATGTCTCAAAGATTTGAGATGTATAATATAATAATTTGTGCTAAATTGTGGTATTTCTATGTGTAGGAATCATTCGGATGCAATTTGGGACGAAATGGCGCGAATTGGAGCGAAAAGGCAAAAAGTGAAATTTGTGGGCCACAGCCAGCGTGGGGCACTGGCTGTGGCGCAATTTACAGCAGCCAAAATATTTGAGCGCCAGGGCCAGCGCCCCACGCTCACCTGGACGCTCAAGACGGGAAAGTGCCCTTTTTCAACTAGGACTCGGTTATTTCGACCCCTAGACGCCCCAACTCATATAAAAGCCAACCTAAACCTATTTTAAAAGGAAGAAGATGTTTTGAGAGAAAAAACACAAGCACAAAGCCGCCGTGGAAGCCGAAATTCATCAAGTTCCATCTTTCTCTCACCAAACTTAGTAATTTTTATGTTTCTTTGTATGATTTGTTGTTTGGCTACCATGTCTATGTGGAGCTAAACTTCACGTTCTAGGGTTGTGGTTCTTTCATGACTATTGTTATTCGGATATTGATTTTGACTTCTTGATTTATCATATTAGTTTATTTATTCAATCTTGCGCTTAATTATTTAATTGCTTGATCACCAATTGAATACTATCTACGAATCTAGAATTGAACTCGAAAGTGGGAATTCTAGATTGCATATAGGATTGAGTAGAGCAAGTTCTTGAACTCGGGCATCGGGGAACGGATTCGTGGTTAGGATAGACATATACTTAATTGCCTTGCTTGGATGATTTACATGAATTATAAATGCGTTCTTGTTGATTTTAACTCCATAGACATATAGGCGTTATGTTAGCTTGAATAGGCAAGTAAGAACTCGACAGATTCTTATGAGCAATATTAACCCTGTCAACCAATAAGCTAGATAAATTAGTCAGTCAATTCAATTGAAGAATACAATAGGATTGTTAGATAGCCCATAAACCTAGATCGTTTTCATTACATTGATATCATAAAAATCTGCTCTTTCACTGTTCAAAGTTCATTATTTATATTTTTTTATTTAATTAGTTTAGAATCAAATAATTTTAGGTTTAATTCTTGTTTAGATAATTAGGATAGTCTAATTTAGTTAATAGTTAATCACAAGTCCTCAAGGGTTCGACATCCGACTTTTAGTCACTTTATTACATGACGACCGCGTATACTTGCGTGTGCGTTTGGCCGCAACAAGTTTTTGGCGCCGTTGGGTGTTTGTGTATACATATTTTGATGTATCTTGCCTCACATTTTGCTCATGTCTCAAAGATTTGAGATGTATAATATAATAATTTGTGCTAAATTGTGGTATTTCTATGTGTAGCAATCATTCGGATGCAATTTGGGACGAAATGATACGAATTGGAGCGAAATTGGGAAGAAAAGGAAAAAAGTGAAATTTGAGGGCCACAGCCAGCGTGGGGCGCTGGCTGTGGCGCAATTTACAGCAGCCAAAATATTTGAGCGCCAGAGCCAGCGCCCCATGCTCACCTGGACGCTCAAGATGGGAAAGTGTCCTTTTTCGACTAGGACTCGGTTATTTCGACCCCTAGACGCCCCCAACTCATATAAAAGCCAACCTAAACCTATTTTAAAAGGAAGAGGATGTTTTGAGAGGAAAAAACACAAGCACAAAGCCACCGTGGAGACCGAAATTCATCAAGTTCCATCTTTCTCTCACCAAACTTAGTAATTTTTATGTTTCTTTGTATGATTTGTTGTTTGGCTACCATGTCTATGTGGAGCTAAACTTCACGTTCTAGAGTTGTGGTTCTTTCATGACTATTGTTATTCGGATATTGATTTTGCCTTCTTGATTTATCATATTGGTTTATTTATTCAATCTTGCGCTTAATTATTTAATTGCTTGATCACCAATTGAATACTATCTACGAATCTAGAATTGAACTCGAAAGTGGGAATTCTAGATTGCATATAGGATTGAGTAGAGCAAGTTCTTGAACTCGGGCATCGGGGAACGG